CCAGACTTTATGCTGAATTCCTTTATACAATTCAGAGTGTTATGGGTATTAATTATTTTTATGTCCCACAAGAAAAGAGCAAGAACTGTAACCTTGAATTGTGGAAACTTTTCAAGGATACTGTACTTTTAAAGGATAATTGGCTTTTTGTTTCTTGATTTTGGGGTTGGTTTTGTGTTTTTTTTTAAACTGACTGATACTAAGACTTAAACTAGCTTTCAAGAACAACTAATGAACATCAAGGAGATTCAGAAGTACCTCTCAAGAGGATAATTTAGTCCTCTGTGTTTCAGAAATCCCTTCACTACAGGAAGTTAGAATGTTTTTCTTGATGGATAGTTGTCGTTGTGTGCCGTTGGAACCAGCCCATAGCTAACCCTCAATCCAGTGGGTTTTCAGATGCCCAGTACATCACACTAGAGGAAACTGCCCATTCTTCTATTACACAGCAGCCCGTGAATTCAAACTGCATGATTTTTAGATTGCAGCACAGCTTCCTACCACTAAGCCACCACAGCAGCTCCTTTGATGAATAGTAAGGACATAAATATAGTTAAGTACTCATTCAACTGTATTTTAGTTTAGATATGCTGAATTTTGATCACTTTTTTTTTTTAATGGGCACAAATATGAATCTCTTCCAGTTCTTTGGGCACATTGCTTGGTTTAAGTACATACAAGGCTGCATTTGTTTACTGTAATACTTCATTCTGTATTCTGTCAATTTCTGGAAGCTTGTTTTTGCTAATACCTTCAGTACAGCCTTGATTACTCTCTTCAGTTGTTAGTTCTTATTCTTTATGCTACTTCCTGAAATGGTTCCATGTTAACCAAATATTTTTATCCCAAATCTATAGCTTTCTTTTTTACCCTGTTGGAGAGGTATTTAGATGTGCATAGGGATTTCATTCTTAGAAGGTCCCATTCATCTCCTTTATCCTCTTCTGGTTGTATGTGTTTCAGGATGCTTGGAAGACTGTTCATGTTGTGGATTAGGGCTTCCAGAGTTCTTTCAGGCTTTTCTCTGATGACGTTTATAGTCCTTGGCTTTAGTCCTAGGTCCTTGATTGACTTTGAGTTGGGTTTTGTATATGGTGTGAGATACGGATCTTGCTTGAGTTTTCTGCAGATGTTTTTCCAGTAATGACATTTTTAAAGGGAATTCTGGTAGCTTAAGGGTAAGGGATTGTACTGCAAACCCGAAAGTTTGTGGTTCAAATCTACCACCTGCTTCTCGATAGGAGAAAGATGGCATTTTCCTCACATGTGATTTTCTAACCCAGAAAACCCTCTAGAAGGTCAACTATGATTCCATTCTGACTCTACAGCACTCATTAACAGCAGCAATGCCTTTTTATATATATCTGTAAATTTTTTATTTTATATTGGTTTACTTACAGAGTCCCTATACATTGTCTTTCACACTGGATCCTTCCCCTTCAAACAATGGCATTTTTACAAAGTATTGTAGAATGGCTAATACTATAAATACTAAAGGTATGACCTCAAAAACAGGTAAAATGTAAAATAAATTACATTTTTTTGTTTGTGACAGTCTCAAAGGCTGAGGAGATACTGACTTAGGCAGACCAGAAGAAGAACAACAGTATGCCATTTAAAGAAAAGTAAATAGCTCCATAAAGCTTCTTTGCAACCAAATTTTTGAAGATTTTCTTGATACTATGCTAAGTAATGGAGCCCTACTAGCCTAGTGGCAAGGAGCTGCACTGCAATTCCAAAAACATGCAGTTGGAATCCATCAAATACTTCACAGGAGAAAGATGAGCAGCCTCCTCCCATGCAATTAACTGATGAACTGCTTCAAAAGCCGCTGGAGGGTCGGCCAGCTATGGGTCCGTTCCAACTCGACGGGACACAACAACAATAATATGCTAACGATATAGTCAGTAAGGGTATAGTTCTTTGTTGTGTTTGCTGTTGTTTGTTGCTGTCAAGTCGAGCACGACTCATAGCAACCCTATGATCAAGAGACTTGAAGCCTTTCTATAACTATCACCGTTTTTCAAAGTTCATAGAATTTCCAGAGGCACGTTGTTTAGGAAGTAGATGTCACTCCTGTACTTGAGAGAGCTTTAGTCAGGACAGTTTAAACTTGGCATGTTGCTTTGTTTGCCTTTTAAAATGTGGCTACAATATGGGAAATAATTTGGAAAATAGATAAGAATATGTTTAAATTTTGAAGCTATTGAACTGGCTCTCTAAATATTACAGTGATACAAAAGGCTGTTGTTGTTGTTGTTGTTATGTGCCGTCGAGTCG